GCACGGTGAGGGCTTGGACCGGGGCGCGCTGGAAAAAACACCGTTTGCGTTCAGGTCGGTAGCGAAGATGTCGGCGCCGAATATGGAGGAGAGGAAGGCCTGCTGGGGGGCCCGGGACGAGTTCTGGCAGTGCTTGGATCGTCACGCGGACGACGCCTCCATGTGTGAGAAGCTGCGGCTGTCTTTCGAGTCCCGGTGCCCGCAACAGTGGGTGAGCAGCCGCCCGGGGCTCGGCCTCCCTCCCCGGGGCCCTGCTAAACGAACGGGACGTTTCTTTGCACGTTTGTAACAGCCTCGACGAGGCGTTACGCTCACCTTGTTAATGACAACACCTCCCGCTTCTCGGGCTGCAGAACGCGTGCGATCTTAGGCTTGGGAAACGTAACTTGGTCTGCACTAGGTCTTGCCGGGAAATTAATAAGACTCCTGAGCAGACCACGGACTGGCCCGGGAACTATGGACAGTAATGTAAAATATGTAGTATTAGGGGAAAAAAAAAATCTCAAACTTTAAGACAGATGTTCAACTATGCAAGCATAGAGGCTTATTGTTTGAAAAAAAATCTTCTGAAAGATACTCAGAAGCTTTTAGAAGTGCACAGAAATTAGTTACTGAAGAAAGGCTAATAGGGAAGGGAGGTGACACACAGGGCTTGCGGTTGCATGGCATCTTAAGACTGGCATCTGTTACCTTCTTGTGCATAAAAATACCCTTCTTACAGTATAATTTCACAGTGAACCATCTACTTAGATGTAACTCACTTCATGTTGTACTTTTTAGTTTCCTAAGCTCAAGCTATATTTCTTAACTTTTTTAATAGGCATTGCCCTTTAGTACCATTAGTGCCTGAGGGGCTGAACAGTTTGGACCTAGTAGACTGAAGTCAGTTAAAACAAGTACATTCACTGTTGCTTCATTGATTTACACTTTGAACACTCCAGTTCTGCCATATGCCCTCTCTAGTGATGGTGGTTTCATCTGCCAGTGCATTGTACCATGCACAGCAGTGGCTTTAGGCAATGAATTCAATGGTTACATAGTCTGTGACACCATAGAATAGCTGCTGGATTTATCTTTGTATTACCAATAATCTCTGCATATAGCAGTGAAAACGGCACAGCGATAAACTTCTATTAGGTGTCCATGGAAGTGGTTATGACAGGAAACTGGAATTCACTTTCAAAATTATTAAAACCACCCCCAAAACACAAAAAAACACACATACCTCAGCCCACCTGTAGTCTTCTACTTCAACAGCATGTGAAACTCATAACTACTGTATTCAGTTAAAATCCTCCATAAATTCAGTGATCAAAGATTCTTTATTCCTTATAGTCTTGTGATGCACACAAAGCCCCTTCTGCTGGTTCCTTCTGATGAACATCTTTTCTCTTTTTAAACAGGTTAAACACTTTGATAGAAGAAGAGACTTTTTAAAATATAAAAGAAAGCTTGAAACAGAAGGGTATCATCCTTCAGAAGATGCTGGAAAGTCTTAGGTACTCTGCTTTCAGAATAAATCTAGTGAGAATAACTATGAAAGGAAGAAGCATGAGAAAGCAACTGAAGCTGCTTGAGCTCAAGAACTGGTCACATGAATGTCTCCCTGAAATGCAGGCTGCTGTTCTTGTTGCAAGGTCTCATGTGTCTGCTGAAAAAAAGATTGTCATCAACAGCTTTTTCATGAGTGTAAGTTAAAGAAATAAGGTGCAGAGCTGTTCACTTTTGAATGTATAATTAGTCAAATTGTTTTACAGGAATAAATGATTATTTAATAGTGTAATGTATGTATTCTAAAGAGAACAATAAAACTTTCTCAGTAAGTGAACCAGCTGTGCCTTAAAAAAAAACCCCACCTCCATTCTAACTTCCCCTCTTTGGCAAAAGGGGCTGGTGGTATAATGTAATTTATATCTGTCATTTACAAAGTATTTCAGAGTATTTTAAAATACAGTTTAAGTAAGTTAGACATCAGTTAAAGAAAACAGCAGGCATTAGAAGACCTAATGCATCCTGTGCATTTGATGTAATTTACATATTTTGAATATGCTCATTTTTTATAAGCAGTAGGAATTTTTACAGTAGCAATAACAGTTTTCAATCAGTATCTCTGCTGGAAGTATAGCATTTATCAATCATGGTTCTCACATGGCCTTTTGCATAATTGACTGGTTTTGATTACCATACTGATGCAACTCCATTTAAAGATAGACTGTTTACAGCAGGGTTAGTAAACTTGCCTGTGGAAGGCATTCAAACAAAAGGCAGCATTTAAAGTAATAATGTAAGTGAATTTACCTTGCAAAAAATTTATAATTTAGTATATCTAGATACAGCATTAAATACTTTGGCTACAATAAGTTTTAATCGTTGTTATAGGAAAGCACCACTCCAATTTTAAGCAGGACCATCACAATTGAAGTAACTGCAGTAAAAATCCTATGTTTTGAGGTTAGGATTGTTCACAGTACACTATGCTGATGTTCTAACAGAAAAATCACACACCACATGCAATATAAATAGTATTTATTTCAATGCAACAGTTTTATTTAAGGAGGTAAAGTATTAAGGCATTTAAAAGTCAGTCTGAACATTACAGAGAACAAAACATGCAAAACTTAAGAATACTCATTCACCCTGAGTTTGTATCACATCTATTCAGAATTCCATGTTGTAGCACCATAGGAAGTCACCCAAACGTACTATAAGGCACAAAACTCTTGGCAGTTATTTTTGTTGTTTTTGCTTGATCACTTGTTGCCTTGTGTACTCCCAGATCAGCAGAGCTCCACTTACATGAACATTGAGTGATCGAATAATACCCTGCTGAGGTATTTCCACACAGACATCCAGGTGGTGAATCAGGTTCGCTGGGATTCCTTCATGTTCATTTCTAGTAAAGAAGAAACAGTAACTTGTATCTGAGAAGAGACAAGTGTTTCAGAAAGAAGATGCAAAAATCACAACAGCATCCAAACACCATTTCACAAACGATGCATCTGTCATCAATATAACTGATGAGGACAAGAACTTTTTTTAAAAGCAGTAACACATTACAAAGAAAACATGGGAGACCTGACTAAGCTTTGACGTAGGAAAACTGGCAGAGCACTTTAATTCAGTGGTCCAGCAACAGCTGAACACCCAAAACAAGGACTCCATCTCCGCCTTTATTTTGAAACTATCCATATATAGCAAAATAAACAGCTATAGATTGAATGACCAGGGCATGAAGCTGCTGGCACAGCAGGGATGCTCAACTCTCCACATTCAGTGAGGTCTTCCTATGAGAGAACATCAAGACTGATAGAAGCCTTGAACTATAAACGTTTCACCTTTTCAGAATGAGCACACCAGAAGATATGTTCTGCTGATTAAGGATACCAATTAAACTCAGACACCAGAGTGAAAAGAGCAGGTGTATTTTACTAGTGATAACAGTGTAATACAGAAAACATGCAGTAAGCAAAAGCAGAATAGTGCACTTAAAGCAGCAAAAAGGAAAAAACAGGGTAACGCATTAAATCATTACTACACGAGAGAGAGAGAGAGGAGATTAAGAAAAATACATCACCACTTGCATATATTATCATCATCCAGATCCACAGTCACTGGGGAGCCCCAGTCACAGCGAGGATTTGCAGAGCCTGTCCCAGCAAGTGGGAAATCCTACGCGGTGCCTCCACCCATAGGTGAGGCTGCCAAAGTCACTGTGAGCGGGTCCCACCTTATATACCAGAGATCGAATAGCTGGCACCTTTGAGTGGAAAATTTCTGTTTTCATTATCCTGTTGGATTCCACCCAAAGCCTGGCCAGCGCTCAGGGGGGAAACCAAGGGAGTTTCTAACAAGGCCAGATACGTGGGTTCTCAGCCTTGCACAAGGCTACACAAGGGAAGTTGCATACAGTCTCTCCTCACTACTGACTATATTTTGTCTAAGCTGTCTCTCACTATCAAGTTTACATACTTTATTAATGATTACAGACTAAGCCACTTAGGCTTGGGGCCTGTTGTTCAGGCTTCAGTACTTCAATGCTTTACCACTTTTTACATCAGCATAAGTGTGTTGTTATAACTTATTACAATACCTACTAGCACAATGGTTTTCAGTTATAAAACATACAGGATTCATCTACAGGTCAACTCTGACTTGGGCCAGTTGTCCAAGCCTTAGCACTTCAAGATACCAGAGGTTATCAGTAATTTAAACTATGCTTTTAATTAGAAGAGAACAAGGTGATTATGAGAACTACAGGTACATACAAAAAGGTTTGAAAAGCAAGTATTTCTGCCTGCTTTGTCCTAAAAGGATAGGCAGGGCCTTCCTCCTGGTCTCAATGGCCTTGCAATTCCACTAGCTTTCTGACTTGTAGGCACTTTCCTCTACATTACCTGAAGCAGCCTCCCCTTTGTCACGTCAGGCTTGCCTGATTATTTGAACTGGTTATGGTTTTTCTCTGAAGTCATCCCAGCCTCTGCTTGTACTGCAAAAACTTACTACTTTGTCCTGCGCCTCATCCTTAAAATTTAAAGCATCTCCCAGCTACGCACGCTCCAGTCCTCCTCACCAAGTTAAGTAGGACAAACAATAGGCAGCCCTCCTTGCTGAGCTCACCGCAGCCTACACATACAGGGCCCCACGTTACTAAAGCAAACAGATGGTATCTGTATCACACCTGGAAAATGCAATCCATGCTGTTGCTACCTCCACCCATAAAAAGAGGGGTTATAGTGTATGGATAGGTTAAGTACAAGGAAAAGGATCATTCAGGAGTAGATGTCAAACCCCCTGCTCGTTAACACACACAGCCAAGCTATAATGTTTTCATAATCGCTTCCATTCTAAATCCACCTTTACCAGTGTCACTTGGTTTCCATATGACTGAACGCTGACTAGGAGAAGAGATGGACTGCAAGAGGTAGATTTACAAAGAAGTCTGTGTTCTTACCCCAGCAATAATAGTGACTTCTCTGGGAAGCAATATTCTGTAAGATCAAAACTTTTAGCTGTCTGCTCCACACCAATAATAGTGTAGCCTTCTGTTTTTTTCTGCTGTAAATAATCAACAAGCTGAGATGGCTTCACCTGTCCATCAGTAGAGAGAAAGATACAAATATTTAAATCTTACCATTTGTAAACGTCTGAAGTTACTGTAAAAATCAATTTACTTGGACAGCTTTTGAGATTAATGACGTTTATCCCCAAAGACTCCATCCATATACATAGCTTAACATTTTAAAACCTCTTCAGCAACAGCACAAAAGGTTAAGTAATGCCATAAAAATGCACTCCATGGATACAATGAACAAAGGCTTTTCTATGCTTCTGACAGCTAGAAGCCTTACACCTGAATGTAAAAGAATCAGTCTTACATAGGGACAAGGTGAATAGCTATTATTTAACCTGGCATTCCTTCCCAGAACAATGCAACAGCCAGTACTGAAGCTGTTGCCTTACATGCCTGCATTACAGCTTGTAACAGCTTGCAGTGAAGAATTTCTTAGTTGTCTTCATCCTACTCTCTAAACTGCTTATCTGTATTAAATGCCAATTTCTTCATCCAACAGAAGCTCCATCATCAGTACACTTCTGTACAGAGATTAGGCACAACAAAACGTGTCCATCAACACTCTTTTTTAGGCAAAACACTCTACACCTATCTTGTTCTGAAGAAAAATCATAAGCTGAAAATAAACGGGGGGGGGGGAAATGAAAAATTTGCACTGATTTTTTTCAGATGACTTAAAGCTGATCTTGAAAAACTGATTAGGATAAAATATCAAAAATTCTACCAAATACTAATCACAGGTTGAAACTCTCATTTTTATAAACTAGACAGTAGGTTCTAAAACCTTGGCACAAGCTAGCTTCACGTAAACTCAAATTATCCCCATGAAGTTACCAAAAGCAATGGACCAAGCAAGATAAATGAAGTGTTGTCTGACTTTTACAAATAAACATTTAATTCCAACGCACCACTATAAAGCAGAGTAAGATGTAACAATGACAGCTCACATAATCAAGTTTATCACAGCAGTAAAAAAGTATTTTAAAATTCTTTATGAGGTTGGCCCAAAGTTTATACCAAAATACTCAATCTTAAATCTCAGATAACAGTGGGAGATTCTGTTCAATAAACAGTTAATTTTTGCAAGATAAAAAAAAGACTGAAATAAGTATCTGATGAACTGGAGATGTATACTTTAGCTATTAAAATACTTCCATTCACCTCAACAAGGGGGAGCCACTGCTCTGCAGAAACACTAAGGTGCTGGAACTGCTTATCCTGTATATAATGAAGACTGCCAACAACGAGCGCAGACGCCCCAAATATTTCACTTGTACGACACAAACCTACGAAGAGAAGTAGTCATTTTTTTGTGTAGAAAATAAACACCAAGCAAGAACCTTTTAGCAAGTGAAAAAGGACAAAGAATCTGAAAGAGAAGTGGTTACTTCAGTCCCCTATTTTTAATCAGTTTCAGGTGCTTCTTAGGTCTATTCCTAGCCACCTTGTTCCATATAATTTATCAGAAAAAGAAAAAAAATTTGAAACTTAAAGATAAAAATTAGAAAAGCACTATGTCTGACAATGTCCTTGTACACAAAGTAATGGGTTAGTATACAAGCCTTGGCAGGGATGGACACACACATATGTGCTTAAGCTTTAAATCCAGTACCTGTTTAAAAGAAAGGCTTGAGACAATGACACATCACAGCATTTCAATGCAGACAGCACCAGCTTGTGGGCTTATTTTTCATTAACAGTCTCACTGCAGTTATTTAAACTGCTGACAAGAGCAAGCACAATGCAATAAAGTATTT